ATCAATTTCCTTATGCTTATGCGTTATGCTTTATGTAAAAGCTTGTGCTCTCGGCTATAAGCATAAGGAAATTGATTGGTCTATATATAAGCATAAGCAAATGCATAAGGAAATGGACCAATCAATTTCCTTATGCTTATGCGTTATGCTTTATGCAAAAGTCTGTGCTCCGGCCATATATCTGTACGTGCGTATGCACATGTGATACCCGACGTGGTGATACAAATTGATAATATTGTAAAAATTCTTGAATGATGCCGAGCAGTTGTTGCATTCCAAAATGCAAAAATACTACAAAAGATGGTTTTTATTTATTTAGGTAAGTAAAATGTATTTATTTATAATTCGAGATTTGTAATATTTGAAGATTATGTTTCAGTTAAAAATGTAAATATTTTAGATTTCCATTGAATCGTCTAGACATTTTAAAAATGTGGATGAATGCCATTGGAAGAGACGGTTTTGAACCCACAAAATATCATTTAATCTGTAGTGCTCATTTCACAGATACAGATTTTATGGAAAGACCTAATGCAAGTGGTCTTTAAAAGTCTTTCCGTCGGTCGTTAAAAGATCGTGAAAATAAGTTACCAAATAAAAATGCGTTTTCTCAAATAATTTATCGAGTAATACGCAGATATGCGTTGGATACTGATTTATTTTCTAACAGTAACGTTTGCTACGAAGAATTCGAGATAGGTATAGATACGCCGCATCGTCTGCAGTTAATAAATATGATTTGTCGCAAATATTTAACAATTCAAATGTATTCATATTCTAGAATATTAACTAAAAATGTAATAAATCCCGTCAGTAAACGGCAAAAATTATCAAAATTAATATTTTTTAATAATACATAAATTTTACTTTAATAAATATAGTAATGTGTTTTTTGCAATTCTTTTAATAAAATGTATTTTTTACTATAATATTAATGTTTTATTATTATTTTCTGCGTCCATAGCATACGTTTTATTATTTTATAAATGTTATAAATATTTTTTTAAATATTAGAATTAAAAAATGTTATTTTATTAAAAATGAAAAAAAATACAAAATAAAAATATTTTAATACATTTCATGCAATAGCGGGAGCGGCCATTTTGTTGTAGAATGTCATGGCCAAAACCGGAAATCCTGCCAGCCTCAGTTTTTCTATACGTCAAAGGGTGCGGTCGAGTTACTGCTACAAATGCTTTGAAGCGTTTCGACTGCGGTCAATTTAGCACTTCGAAACATTTCAATGATATAAATGACGTCACTGAAACGTCATAAATATTCTTTACCACTTTCCGCTTCCAATGCTGCAGCCGGAGAGGTAGTACGGCTGAAGCGTTTTTTGAATTTTCGTAAATTGCGGGAAATTGTGTCGACTGTCGACTGAACAACATACATGTGTAACGTGGTTCTACGTGCTCATCTGAAGATTCTGTGTATAATAAAAAACGTTGAGCTACATTATTGTTAAAAATGCCAAATATTACGCTATTTGATTGAAAGAAATCAAAGTATATGTTCAACATAATTTTTTAATATTCTTAATACGGTTTTTCATTTTGTGATATTTTGAGAGGTTATTATTATGTCAATTTCCTCATTATCACAAAGATAAGAATATATATCTAAATAATTCTTTACAATACATATTGTAGCTATATCTTTATTCATTTTAAAAATTTTTAAACTTCGTTATGTTTTATATGTTAATTTATATTTTTTTTAATTTTACACTTCAAACGCTTCAGACACTTTCAAACCGGTCAATTTTACCAACGTTGAGAACATCTGTAGCGCTACTTGACCATTCCATGAAAGCGTTGAAAACGAAAGCGTTCGAAGCATTCAGAAGCGGCAACTCGACCGCACCCAAAGCCTAAAGTTAACGATCTAGTACTAGTATAGACATCTGTGAACAGACCAGAGCGGCGAAGCGGCGAGCGGCGAGCGGTATCCAATCAGAACGCCGCTTTTCCAGACGTCACTTCCGCCGCTCTCTCGAAGCGGCATTGCAGAAAAAGTTGATCAAGTCTAGGCCAAATTCCCACTGAGCGCGTCACGCGTCGCGTCATGAGGGTGCCGTCACATACAGCCCGTAATCCGTAATCCGCACCAGAAATCCGCAAAAATTACTAGGTATTTCATCCGTAACGTTACGTGTGTTTTTATCTCCTTGTGTCTCATGGAGCCGTAATTTCATGAAATTTCCGTAAAAGTTAGGCCAAATTTCCACTGAGCGCGTCACACGTCGGCGTCATCCGTCACGTCACGAATTAACCAATCAAAACATCTCATTTTATTGCATCATTTGCCGCGCGAATAAAATGGGATGTTTTGATTAGTTAATTCGTGACGCGATGGATGACGCCGACGCGTGACACGCTCAGTGAGAATTCGGCCTTACTGCAAGCTACTAGTTATTACTAGTAATGCATTTTCTAATTTTATTTATTTAACTAAATTAGACGATATAATTAAAACTTTTGTTAAAATCATAATATATTTTGTAGTTTTCTTATAAATAAAATACAAATAAACAATTATAATCTGTTAAATAAAAAATAGTACTACCGTTACGTCTGTATTTACGGCTCCATGGAACACAAAGAGATAAAAACACACGTAATGTTACGGATGAAATACCTAGTAACTTTTGCGGACTTTCGGTGCAGATTACGGATTACGGGCTGTATTTGACGGCACCCTGAAGATTCATCGCTAGCGGAGAGCGGCGACTGGAAAAATAACATTCTAATAGCGTTTTCGAATAAACGGGGTTTGAACGATCTAGGGTTGATCAATCACTATTTACTATAAATGCAAGTCTTTCATTGGTGGAAAGGTTGCAATGACGTCATTAACCAATCTTGGGTCGTTCAAATCCTGTATAATCGAAAACGCTATAATTGGATGCCGTTCGCCGCTTCTTCGCTCTGGTATGCAAGAGACACACATAACCTTAAAACAAAAACATAAATGTGAATCAATCTTCTAAAAATGTCAAATCAAAATAATGAGAATATTGTAATAAATTATAATAATAGTTTTCTTCGGTGATCGAGTGTTGGTCTTTTACAGTATAGCGCTAACAATAATAAACGCTTACAATTATTATAGTTTAAATTCATTTTTGGAGCTATAAAATAATAAAAAATTTAGAATATGTATAATATGGAGCTAATTTTTTTTTATAGGTTAAGTTTACTTCAAAATAAACTGTAATGAATTTTTCTTACGCAATAGTTATTTATGATAACACAATAAAGCACAAATATAAAAATAATACGTATTTTTTATCAATTTTAAAATTTTTTATTAAACAGTTATTTAATTTTTATTATCCTCGTTCGTCGATGCTCATCGCTCGTCGCTTGCCATCACTCGCCGCTATTCGCAGCTCGCAGCTCACCGCTCTGGTGTAGACAGCGGGAAATGATTTTCATTCGTTCGTCGCACGTCGCTCGCCGCTCGCCGCTACGCCGTTCTGGTCTGTTTGAGCCATAATGCTCTCTCTAGGGGTGTTTACGATAATTCAAGTTCGAGTTAGTTTCACTAGGACCGAAAAATGAGATAGACATAACCATCTAGAACCTTTATGATTCATGACAACTCGACGCTGTCTTGTATTGCTTGAGTTAAATTCATTGAATTTGTTGAGTTTATTGAGCAAATTTTATTGTAATAGAAAAATGTCAACTGCAAATCAATCTATGAAAGAAACAAATAATGTTGGTATGTATGTTGGTATACCTCTTTAATAAATTAATAATAATATAATTAATAATAATAATAATGACATTTTACTATTACAATAAAATTTGCTCAATAAACTCAATAAATTCAATGAATATAACTCAAGCAATACAAGACAGCGTCGAGTTGTCATAAATCATAAAGGTTCTAGATGGTTATGTCTATCTCATTTTTTGGCCCTAGTGAAACTAACTCGAATTTGAATTATCGTAAGCACCCTAGGTCTTCCATGGCCCTGGCACGCTAACGAGATTCGCGGTAAGTAGCAAGCAGCAAACAAATGGCTTAGTTTACACCGATTGTTTAGTACGCGTACCAAGTACAAAAGCAGCTTCTTTGATTAGTGTAGATTTTACACTAAACGATAT